AACTAGTCGCCAACAACTATAATTTTTACTTAATATATTTATATACATTTATTTTAATATTTTATTGAATTTTTAAATAAAAGAAAATGTTTAAAAAAATTTTTTATTAAAAAGGAATTCTAATCGGAGTCAGCAGGCAATTCCTAGACTGAGAGCAAAGATGACAGTTTTTGTATTCTTTTGAGAGTAAAGACCAGAAAAAATTTTTTGTGAATAATAAAGAAAACGATATTTATGTATAATCAAAAGGAAGACATCTGCAATAATAAAGAAAGGGAAAAAATTTACATAAAAATGCCGTTGTGGTGGAAGGAGGTGCCTAATAAACAATTTTATTAAAGGGATTAATAGAGGTTGACAGAGCTTGACACGACTTTTTACAGTTATATTTTATGCTCTTGTTTTTAACCGAGATTTTATTATACTTTTGTTAGTATTTTTGGTAATTCTTCGGTTTTCGCCCCCCCCCCTTTTTTTATGTTTCCCTGACCATTTTGAGCTTTTTTGCTTGACATATAATTTATTATATATCATTCGAAAGAGCTATCCGAGCTGGGTAGATTGATACTAAGATCGGTTAGATTTGGCGATTTTGAACTAACTTATGAGGCTAAATCCTCTGTGGACATGCTTTTTTGTGATGTTGAAAGGGATTAAAACAAATGTTCATAACTATGTTTATTTAAGTCTGATTTTGATGAATTTAGTACCGTTCGACTCAGCTCGAAGAGCTCTTTCGAATGTATATAAAAATTCATAAAAATTTCATAGGAAATGAAAAAAATAGAACATAAAAAAAGGGGGGGGCGACAACCGAAGAATTACCGTATTTTTTATTATACTTACGGTAGTCCCTGTAATTAAATACATAAAAATCGGAAAAATAATAAAACTAGATTCGGGGAAATTTTTTATTTTCCACTCTCGTATCCCAACAAATTTTATTTTTATTTTATTACAACCTACTATTGTGAAATAATATAATAAAACTCAATACGATGGTTTTTGATCTGTAATTTTGTCTATTGTTTGGAACAGAGTGTATAGTAATTGAGGTTTTTAATAAGAACTGGAAATTATTTTTGGTAGTCTGTCATTTTTAATTACCCATTTTTAGTGTACATTTTTTGAATAAAATAGAAAAATATAAAATAACTTCAGTCAGACTAGATAATTACATAAAAATAGAAAAAAAACTTATTTTTACAATAAATTTAAAAAAGGAAACACTTTACTACAAATCGAGTGTTTGGGAGAACATAAAAAATGCTTGGTAGATAAAATCTTACTTCGCATTAATTTATAAAAACATGTACTATCTGACGACAGGCTGGAAAATGTAAAATTTTATTTTGTTTGAATTATTAAAAATAGCATCAACCCTGAGTATCACCCGCAGAGTATAGCCACCCAAAGTATTTGTGATCCAAAATATCGAAAACATGATCAACACTCAATTTTTTAAATTTTATTTATTACAAGAGAGATTGCTCCAACAACGTAAACCACAATCCATTCAATTGAAAAAGTGATGAATAAGCAATTGATTAAAGAGAATTGGCCAAAACATTAAATAGGGGCAAAAATTGGGCGGTAGAAAATGTGAGAGAAAAAAAAGTGTGAAAGTATTTGTTTTGGAGCGGGGAAAATAATAAATTGTAATTAAAATATTAATTAACAAAATAAATGGGATTTTAAGTGCCCTTTGGGTGCAAAGGAGGTGAATTTGAATTTTAACAAAAAATTAAATTTGATCATATGTTTTTGATACTTAGATTAATTTGATAAAATTCTGTTGGACTCAGTAAAAAATATTAAGATAACTGAATATACAAAAATAATTATAAAAATTTATAAAAAAATATTACAAACAATTTTTTGTTTTAGAGAAATAAAATCAACTCATCAAATGAGTCAACTTCTTCCATTTTTCTTTATAGATTACAAATTTCTATTAATAATCAGTTGCTGTAAAATTGCCTATTCCTAAAATTATTTAGAAAAATAATCCTTTTGAGAAAATACATGGTACTTTATGGATATGTCACCCCCCTCCTATTTTGAGTCTCAGAGTTTTCCTTAAACGTAGAAAATGGTCAGAGATTATTTTCTTCTCAATGTCAATCATTTTTCTTTTTTCCAAGCAAAACAAGTGAAATGTGGTAAATGTAGAAACGAAATGAGTGAAATGTAAGTACAAAATATGTGAAAAAGGCAAAATAAACAAGCAAAATACTTGAAGAAGGCAAAATGATTGACATGGAGAAGAAAATAATCTCTGACCATTTTCTACGTTTAAGGAAAACTCTGAGACTCAAAATAGAAGGGGGGGGGTGACATATCCATAAAGTACCAAATACATACTTAACGACATAAATTTTGCTGTATTATCAATGTTTATTATAAGTAGAAGATTGAACATTGCTGAATGACTTGACAAGTAGGAAGGCAAATAAAAATTCTTAAATATACAAAATTATGTAACAAAAAATAATGAAATTTAATATGTAAAAAGATTAACCAATATAAGTGTTTGAGCAAATAACTTGCGAATGGCACAAATTTGAATTTTTCATCAATTCCAATTTTTGTTCAGGCAAATAAATGAAAATAAAAATATATAAAATAAATAGTAAATGTAATAAATTGTAGGAATGATGCGTTCATCACTCGACACGGCACTGTCAATCGTCGATTTTCGAGAATACGTCTCCTTCGCATAATGAAATATAAAAAGCATTGAAAAAACACTTGACGCTCAGCATTCAACACGGATCCATTGTGGAGCAGCAAACTTTTGTAACGATCGGTTTAATAATATATCGTCTACTGAACATGCCAAATACCTAATTTTTATTTAACACGCAAGCAATTTCATGTTTACTTTTAAATTTTCAAAGTAAATTTATAATATAATGTATTATACGATCTAAGTTGTACTTTATAAACAAAAAATGTACTTTAAAAATTATAAAAGTTAAGTTCAGGTTCGTGTCAACCCTAAAAAATTTAAATTTTGTGAATGGAAACATGGCTTTGATACATTATTTATCACGAGATAGATATTTTGTTATCTATCTTTTTTCTGTCAAAGGGCACGCACTTTTTAAAGTTTAAAACAATTTAGAGGTTAAATAAAATGGTATTTAAATGTAATTATCGTTTCATTTTAAATTATATGGATATGTTTTAACAGTGGATTTTTTGAAATTACTAATATTATTTAGTTAGCAAGTTATTATTACGTTGTTCATTATTTAATTTAGTATTTGCATGTGTTAAATTAATTAGTCCAATAGTTGTTTATTATTAAATTATCCAAATTTAATTAGTATTTGTAAATGGAACGTGGTCTTAATTAAATCAACCACGAATTTTTCTTTCATTTATGTCATTCAGTATTTATAAAAGACACATTGCTAGCATAAAATTTATTTCTTCAACAGAACCTATAAGTAATTTAGGTGCCTACATACCCTTATATGACTTGTCACATGTTAAGTGCCAGTGACCCCACATTCATGGTAGTCCCGACCAGGGGCGGGCGCAAGAGAAAATTTCCAAAAACGCAAAACGCAACGCAAGGCCAAAAATCAACGCAAAACGCAAAAAACGCAAAACGCAAAACGCAAGAACGCAAAATTAAAAATTTTATTCATAAATTATGCATTGACCATTTTTCCATCGAGTATCAATAAATTATGGTGTAAAAAAAGTTGTTTTTCAAATTTATCATCAGCAATACTTGTTCTTAAATCACTAATCAATAATTTTGCAGCTGAAAATAAGCGTTCTGATTCAGATGAAGTTGCAGGAGCACTGTGATATTTGTACACCTAAAATTTGAAAAAAAACTTATAAAACATATTATTACCAGTGACTTTAAACGTGGATATTTTGAACTGTTAATTGGATCATTCCAAAATGCTGAAGATGTATTAAAAGTTTTATCTCTGGGACGCGTTAAGTAATCCTCGATCTCCTAAAAATTAGTTCAGTTTCTTTTTAACTATCAAAAATACCGCAATTGCTCTAACTCGATCATCTATCAATGGAGGAGAAATAGCAGGTGGAGAACCAATCAACTCATAGCGCTGTTTTAAAAGTCTTTCAATCGGATCTGAATTTCAAATAGCATCTGAAATTTTACTGAAAATTGCTTCTTTAATTCTTCCATATTCACTAGTTAAAATCGTCCTTGCAAATGTATAACGACTTCTAAAAAATTGAATAACTAAATTTTATATTAAAAATACTTGATTTTAAATTGAGGAGCCAATGCTGTTATAATCTTTCGAAATCCATGATCTTCTACAAAACTGAAGGGTCTTAAATCAGTGCATATTGATTGAATAATCAGTTTATTTAATAATTTTGTCTTTTCACCATTTTCGTCCCATTGTTCTAAAATTCATTGAAATAGTTAAATTAAAATTACGAATCATACTTAATGTTAAATCAATTCTTGGTGTGTTATCTTCTAATTTAGGATTTTTTTCTTTGCTTGTTCCTTCTTGCTCTTCCCCATTGTTTGGCAAAAATCTTTTGATTGTATTTCTCTTTATAGATGACTCAATTGATTTTTTTCATTTAATTCGTTTTTAAGTAAAAGTTGGAATTGATCATCATGTTTAGTTTGCAAATGATAGCGAAGACCAGAAGTAGTTTTTGTTGATTTATATGCACATTTGTAGTTACAAAATTTACATGCTGCGCTATCAGCCGTAATAATGAAAAAATTTGAATATTTACTTTTACTAACCATCTAAAATCGATTATTTTTAGCATATTAAATAAATTGGCTTGAAAAAACGAGCGGAATATCTTCAATAATTAATGACTCTAGCGCCGCAATCAAAATTTTAGAGAAATACGGAATGCCAGAAGCCAGATTTCTTTCAATTTTTGCCCTCAGATTGGGTATTTTTCTTGCGTTTTTTTGCGTTAATTTTGGCCAAATTTACGCAAAACGCAAAACGCAACGCAAGGCCAAAATTTAACGCAAATAACGCAAAACGCAAAACGCAATGCGCCCGCCCCTGGTCCCGACTTAAGTACGCCACTTCGGATTATTTCTCCAATCTTAATTCATCATTTTAAACAGATTTTACATAAAAATGTCGAATACAAACACAACACAATCACAAGAAATTACGTTATATGACCAAATTCTACAGTTAATCGTCTCATTAAATAGCACATTCCCTTATGTTTCAATAGTTATAAATATAACTTCATTAATTATTTATATCTTGGAAATTATAACTATTTTGAAGCATAAAAAGTTCCACACACCTTTCTATTGGCTCTTCATTATAAGAGCAATTACTGTAAGTCTTAATAAGGCTATTATGTAGATGCCCCTCGATTATAAGATGAAAGATTATATTATAGTAAGGGGTTAACGCTTAGGGAGAGCTCTCTACTGCTGTTGGCGATCTGGATATCTTGATATCTTGTTTCGCATATAGGTACCGGGATTTCCCATGATGTGCTAACCTTACTCTCAAACCATTAATCCCAAATAAAAAAACTGGATCTTAAATTGGTTTGTGACTAGGGTTGGGGTTTTTGAACCGGGCCGACCCTATTTCTAACCTATCTAGGGGTATCTTATTACCTTTCAATGTAACTAATTAAATTAAAAAAATTTTTTTTTGATCAGGATTTCTATTCATCCTTCGGTTCTTATGCCAATACGAGATTAATTGTAATTACTAGAGGTCTACCTTATAAACTTTATTTAACGTTTCCAAATTGGGTCTTTGCGTTCTTCTACTTTTTGGTTCTGCATGGATATGGAGCTAACAATTTAGCTACAATTTTTATGATGTTGACTCGTTTAACCGCTATTATGTTTTTAATGAAGCATGATAAAGTGAGGAAAAGGCTTAAGTAGAGGCATAAATAAATTTTATCTTAAACAGATTTGGAAAAAATTGCTTCCATTATCAATAGTTATCATTTTTGGTCTTCCTTTACTCGATTCTTATATTTTGTTCCTGGATACTTATGTTATTATTCCGTTGCCAAATGAACAGAATATGACTTTATTTATAATTCCTCCAAAGGAACACGATGTAAGACTTGTATTTTAATTCTTGAATTCTAATAGATAGATGGATTCCCGGAGTCACACACAACTCGTAAAAAAATTTTTATGATGTTGACTGGATATTATGATGTTGACTGGATTTATCTTAAAAATAAATCATTATCAACCTCGAAAACATAAACCATGAAACCTACTGCCCTGAATGTCACACGCTCAGCTTTCTCCGAACAAACTTTTCCGAATAAGTGCTTAATAGGATTTATCTTAAAAATAAATCTATTAGCCGGGAAAATTTGCTGGGAAATAAATAATGGATGATTAACTCTAACACGAAACTACGCAAAATTGGATTGAAGGGATACCGATGGACTTGTGGGGTTAAGGATGATATTAGTTAATTTAGAGGGGGAGTGCCTGGAATGTTTTGCTAGTGTTAAAGAGTTGAGCCTAAAATTCATTAAAGTTAGTACTCAAATTTCAGAAGCCAGGACCATATCTGTATATTAGCTTTTACTACTCAATTATTTTTCTGGTAGCTTGTGCCATTCTCAATTTTGCGATTTTGTTTATTTACAAAGTCGTCAAAAAGTCTGTTAATCAAAAGGGAGATGGAAGCACTGATAACCAAACCCGAATAGAACGAAATTTGTTAATTTATGCTTCGGGTACTTTGTTTGGACATGCAATTATTGCTATAGTGACGGTAAATTTTAATAGAAATTTGGAGAAATTTGGATAAATTTTTATCATTCAAAAATTATTTTTAAAGATATTTCTCTACGTTTGCCCAACAAGCCATTCAACGCCAGCACTTTTTTCGATGTTACCCGTTGTTACGGACATTGGAACTTCTGGATTGTCTTCATGGCTCCTTTTATTTGTCAGTGAAGATTTTAGAAATAAATTTATAAAAGATTGGAAACCTAAATATTTTTCTAGAAATTCTTCGAATAATTCGAGTAATACATATTATTTCCATTTCTAATCACCGTCAATTGAATGTACGTACTGTCAACAATTTTGTTAGCTCTTTAAATTAGATTATTTTACTATGAAAATTAAAATTTTGTATAGCAGGCAGAGATGGGTCGGAATTACGATTTCTCGCGATTTTTCCTTCCGATTTCCGAAAAAATTTCGATTTCCGAGTTCCGACTTTGAGCCAGTTCCGATTTCCGGCTCTTCCTATTTCCACACCTCTGACTGTTCCGACTTACCTCTGATAGCAGGGATGTCTCGAGTGATCCGATATCATGAATCCGGACTCTTTCCAATCCGAAAATTTTGAAACCCCGACCCGACTTTTTTTCTTAACCCGTGTCATCCCTACTGTTTATTTGTGTATTTAAAACTGAATATTTTTTAGTAAAATAAAACAAGAAGATACATACTGTAATCTCTCATTCTATTTTATCTTAATCTATGTAAAATAATTTCCTTTCGATTACACAAGACAACAGATGTTCATATCCTCTTAAAACTAAAAACATTCTGGGATAAACAATTGCTTATTTCTGCTAATATATTATTGATTTTGAGATCAACCAATTTATTTTTTGAACATAAATTATAAATATTGCAATATTTTTATTTGATGAATTTTGGATTAGCAGAATATATTCCAAAAGATTGCCCACTTTGTGGGGTTCCTGTACAGCTAGCTGACAGATTAACTGTTGATAGAGAGACAAGTAGATTATTTATATATCACGTAAAATTTGAGGATTTAATTATGTATATTTTTTCTTCCAAGTCTTAAGCTTCAGGTCTGTGTGCCTTGATCTTCTGACGTGACGTTTTGGCGTTATTTTTGTACTAATTCGGCGTGTTTTAAATATTCCCGTTAGGGGCGCCACGCGAAAATATCGGCACACAGCTCTTTTAGTATACATAGGTCCTATTATCTAGCCTACTTCTTAACTAAAAATCTTTTTAATATTAATTTATTTAGTCCACAAAGCCTGTTTTAAATGTTGTTTCTGTGCCTGTAATCTCGAACAGGGAGCTGCGGCAATGGAACGATCCTTCTACGAACGTTATGGGCCTCGTTGGTATTGCAGAGGAACCGCAGGGAAATGCTCACTCCTTCCAAATTCTAAAAAGGAAGAAAAACTGAAAGAGAACGGGTTGGCTGAACGAAAAATTAAAAAATAAAAAAAATTTTTTTATAAAAATTTTAGTTTATTTTTAAATTAAATATTAAAAATTCCTTAATAAAATTTAAATTAATTTATTCTCCTCTTTATTTGCCCTCGAATTCTTTTTAATTTTTGTTTATTAAATTCCGTCGAATTTAGAGGCCCCAATTGTTTCCAAGTACTGTTGAAGGTTTTTAATTTGTTTCTTTTTATTAATCTTCCAATTTTTGTTCCATTCGTTGAGCTAAATATTTTTGCAGGCAAAATTGTTGCATAGAAAGGTGTGCCGAATAATCTAGTTTTGCGTATGGATTTATTAAAAGGGCAGGAACTAGCCTTAAATTATTAAATTTAAATTTTGTTATAATAGGGGCAGTGTCTTTCTATTTCAAAAAATCGAGGTTAAGATACTGGTTCCAAGAACTTGTGGAACCGTCAAAATATAGAACCGACGGGAACCTGAACCGAGGTATTAAATTTTGCTATAATAGAATCAGTGTCTTGCTGGTTCAAGGACTGATGAAGTCGGTCTCAATGAACTGGGAAGTGACTTAATGAAGTGGGCCCAGGAATCTTGAACCCGTCCAAGACCCGTTGAGGTTCGAATAACTCTTCCAAGAACCCTTAGGAGATTCCAGGAACCTTTCCCGATGGACTTCTTCGATTTTTAGATCAGAGAAACCAATGTACATATATCACTTTGATTAGGTTAAATGACGAAGTTAAAATACGCTTAAAAATATTTTCAAACTATACTTCATAATATAAATTATCCAAAATAAAAATGGAAGGCTTCTTAAAATTGCTAATAATTATTTCTATAGAAAAATGTTTATCTTCACTATCCAAATTTGTTGGATTTACTACATTTACAGCAACTGAAGAAACTGATTCGTATTTAATTTCCTTAAAATCATAGAAATTTAATAAAAATACTAGAACATACAGAAGTACATTCCCGTTTATTTAATATTCTTGTACAGACTTTAAGAAATATTTCGGGATCAGTTGTCCAATAACTTTAAAATTTAATTTATAGACAATCATTTTCTAGAGAAATTTTTAGTACTTAAAATTAATTTGCCCGTCCTCTTTTTGGCAAAATATTTCCAGTTTTAGTATAGCAGAGTAATTTACATTATCCCCTCCTGGATTAATTACAACTAGGAATTTGTCTGAAATTAAAAATTTATTTGTCTAACCGTATGTTGATTATTAGATAGATATCTCGAAATAATATCGATGACCGATAACCGAGATTTTTGATCGAGATTTATTTCGGTCCTATCTCTAATTATGAATATTCTGAAAAACGCTACCCCTTAAAACATTGTGTCCGAGTCAGCAATACCCTTAGAGAACGAACTTAAGTACTCAAACTCGTTGGGACTCCTTAGTCTAATTTATGGACGGATGATACATTTGAGCAGCAGTCACTAATCTTTAAAATGTTTCCGAGTCTTCAAATACCCATAGAAATCAAACCCGAGGTCTCAAACTCATTTGGGCACCTTAATCTTATTCATGGTCGGATGATATATTCTTTCAGCAGAATGATTTTTAGGTTTAACGAGATCATAACTAGTGAGTCTCATTTATTAGGCAGCTTCTCTCACAAAATGACCAAAAAATTATAGCTTAAAGGTCTCATGTCAGAAGTACTCTTCCTCTGAAGAAACTCTTCTAGATAGAGTGATCGGCTTACCAATTGGAAGGTCTATTACTAATTCTTTATTTCTCCCAATAATATCATTAATTATCCTTCTTGAGCACATTTCATTATTTAATTTATTAAATTGCCCCAAATTAAATTGTAGACTGCCTTCCTCAGACGAATAAAAACTTTAAAAAATTTCTCTAAAAACAATTTTAACTTTAAAAACCTGCAATCTCCACTATCAAAACTACAATTTTGCTGAGGAGTAATTTCTTCTCGGGTAATAAAATTGTTGGAAAGGGAGATTCCATCAAATGGTTTTAAAGAAATCTACAAAAATTAGTTCAGGTTAACCCTCGTGAAGGAGAATCATCCCTTCCTGGATTAATTTTATCGAGAGACCGGGAAAACTATAAGTCACATTCACCGCTTCATCGTCCCGACCTAGCCTAAAAACATGAAAATGACGGAGGAAATCTGAAACTAGTCTTTCTCTAGTATTGTTCATTTTCTCCTGTGGTGGCTCAAATGCTCGAAACTTTCTTTATTTGAGCCGCCACAGGCAATGATTAACCGGTCGTGAATACCCTAATAGAAACAGACATGATACAGTTCCTAGCTTTAACTCATGCTAATTATCCTAGTAAAATATTTTTAAAAATTCTCCTTGCCTTCATACAGTCCAGCAAATGTTTATATGTTTTTAAATGATTTAATGTTGAGTTAAACCTTCCTTTGTCTGTCATTTTTATTTTTTTCCGAAAATTGTTCCAGTCTTTAAAATTTTTCTTAATTTATTTTTAATGGAATCTACCTATTGGTAAAATCCTAATTGTAGGATGAGCATTTTTCAATAAGGGGATTAATAATTCATCTTTTTCATTTTCATTAAATTCTAATTTAAGTGACTCATTTTTATGAATATTATTATTTATTGAGATTATATTGTCTTGGTCATTATCTTCAATTGTCTAAAATAGATTTTTTAGTGTTTGTTAATTTTAATATTTTCTGATTAAAAAGGGGTATTGAAGGAGTACTTAGGGGTATATATCTAGAATCATACGGTATGAGCACTTAGTGAAGTACTTGTTGTTGTGTGCGAGACTTATGACTACACGAATAGAGGCTCATTCATTCCCTTTGAGTTGAGTGATATGAGCACTAGAAACCGAACCGAGACAAGATCTCGATCAAAATCTACTTTATCGTGATCGAGAATTTTTCGAGATTTGCTCAACTTTCCAATTCCGTTTTTAAGTGCCAGGGAACGATATGTAGTTAATATTCCTCACTCATACTAATTGTAAGACATAGATAACCCTAATCAGAACTTATTTCCTAATCGTGCTTACTTAATTGCAATTATTCCAATACCTGAAAGCTTTTTAGACCATTTTTCTTATCTTCAAATAATTGTTGATTAGCCGAAGTAATACCATTTACAAATTTATTTGTAGAGTGAGAATTTGAATAATAAGGATAAATTCTTGAATTCATAAAGGAAGGAGGGGTACATAAATGGGCTTTTTGAATTAAAAGGAATAAAAAAATATTTTTTGAAATTGAATCCATTTACAGATATTTTTGTACTAAAATTTTGAAAAAAAAGATTTAACTTTCTTATGAAATTTTTAGACTTTATGAATATTTCCGCAGCTTTCTCATCATTTTCCTTACATATTGCCTCCGTTTTCACTTTTTTTGCTTTACAAGGAGGGAATTTAATATTTTTCCCTCAATTTACACCTTTTATAAAGATGTTTACATTGCTCTTCCTCTGCCTTTAAACGTTACAAAAATACAAATTTTACTAATCTTCCAAAAGAGAAGATTGAAGGCATGGAAGCGTATATAAAGGCAAACACAAAAATAGTGAATATATTTAAAATTACTGGACTGTATCAAATTAATTTTTATGAAATTTCTACCTTTAAAAACACTATTAAAAGTTATTAAAACCAAATTGTTGAACTCATACCTATTAGATACGGCATTCTGATTTATTAAATCTATCAGGTTTTAATATAAAGAAAAATGTTATCATTAAAAAGAAAGGATAAATGAAGAAATAATTTTATTTTTATCACATTATTTTAAAAGGATAGTGAAATTTTTATATTTTCCCTGTTTAAATTAGGAGTTAGTACCAGAAAATTAATGAAGTATAGTACAAGAAAACCTTAAAACCCCCGTAGATTATAAAGAGAAAAGTGTCGTATCTCGATTTTTCATACACCCTAAATTGTAGAGATGTCCATAATCAGAGATTTTCTAAGACGCAAGATTACACCCCAAGACCAAGACCGAAAAAAACCCAAGAAAAGTCATGAGTCAAGCTCAAGACCAAGAGTCTTGGCATCTCTACTACTCTGCTCGCTTCCACATTTTACTACTCACATTTTCCTTCTCAAGGGTATATGTAATATCGAGATCCGACTATTTAATATCAAGTACCAGTCTCCGATCTCTCCAAAAAATTTTGAAATTACCCAAATAATTTAACAATTTAAATCTTATGTCCCTTTTATCATCCCTTGTTGGTTTGTTTATTCTTCTTTATACGTTGTGATCTCTGTAGTTTTTTGCGCGGATTACGCTGTCTTCTTCCTTTTCGAGTACCTTGTATTTTTATTTTTCTTTTAAGTTTAAATTTTTAGGTTTTACGTTGCGATCTCTGTAATTTTTTGTGCGGATTACTCTGTCCTCTTCCTTTTCGAGTACGTCGCCGTTTCAAATTCTTTTTATGTTTCAATTTTTTGTGTTTCTTATTATTGTTGTTTCCTTTAAATTTTGTTTCTGGATAACGTAAATTACGGCAGATTGCAGGCAAATCTCGTCTTCTTTTGAAGTATGCGGCAACAGTAGTAAGCCCCTCCCAAACGTTACAAACGTTACACCCCATTTGATCACCTGTCAATCAAACCTGAGGCTATAGGGGGTATTTTTCTTTTGATCTTTGCCGCAAACCCTTTGTTTTTGGAAGGGTTTAAGGGTAATTAATCATGATTAATTAGGGTAATTAATCATTAATGATTAATTGCTTTTTGGTGGAAGTTTGCGGGAATTGACAGGTTTGATGTTTGTGGTGTCTGGGTGGTCTGTTGCAACATTTGGAGGGTAAAATAAAAATTTTTAAAACAATATTTGGAATTGCGGTAAAATAAAAGAAGTCAGAAGGTTTTGGATGGGTGAAAATGCGGTAAAATCATAAAGAGATGAATTTTTGTGTTTTCAATTATCTATGTGGGTTGATTTAAGGGAAATATTTAATTGAAATGTTTCGAATGATTGAGAGGTGATTAGGTTCATTAATAAGTATAAAGGGTGCGATTGGTAAGTGATAGGGGTGGGAATTGATAATTAAAATATGAAAAAGTTTAAAAGGGTAATATTTTTGATTAATAAAAAGCTTTTATAAAATTAAAAATAAAATCTCCGAGCGGAATCGAACCTTCAATGTCCTGTTTTTTATATGCGGGAACCTTATCCATTCGGCCATAGAGATTTACTTAAGTTTAATAAAATAATCTGTTAATTTATTATAAACTAATTTCTCTGTGCATTCTGGGGGATGGGTTGGAGCATTTTAAAAATTTAAAAATTTTGAAATTTTGTAAATGATTTAAA